TAGATTTCAGTAGAAACAGTGAAGTGACTATTTGTGCAAAACTCAAATAAAAAAATAAGAAAACAAGACTTGAAGGTGATCAAAGCAAAAGGTGAGTTTAACTCAAATTGTGACCTGATGCACCATGGATTCTGGCTTACGCAGTCCAAAAAGTTAAAAAAAAAAGGGGTCAAAATCCAGTTCTTTTCTTGTTTTATTCTCCGTTCAGACAAAGAGCTTGCAGGCTTCACAGGATTCTGCTACTGCTCTTACTCTGAATCCTGCACATCTTCTTTTACTGATTGACTGGCTGACTGAGACTGAAAACTGAGACTGGTAAAAAAACACATGACCACCCATGTGCACAATGAGCTAACTAAAACCTATCTATTTATACTGTGAAACACCCACATCCAAAGCTAAAATTAATGAACTAATTAAGTAAATCACTAAACAAATCATATTCTAAATAACAAATCAAACTAAATAATCTAAATTCTAAGATTTAACTGAAAATTGAGAAATAGCTCCTATAAACAGGAACTAGTTAAACTCTATCACCATCATGAGAGAAGGGATGGAGGCGATAGAGGACTATTAATACGTCTGTGTTCACCTGGACTACAGACTGGAGGAGCAACTGTGAAGCCGACTACAAGAGGAAACAAAGCAGACTGTAGTTCATAAGGAAGCTTGGATCTTTCACCGTTTGTAGCAGGATATATCTTCTATACTCATTTTTCCTTTGGGACCAATAAAGAATTTTTTAATTTAATGAATTTATCACAGGTGTGAATTAAATGTGTGGATTTAAAGTGAGTTCAAAGAGGTAATATGTTTCTGAAACATTATTTATCCTAGGATGTATTCCAGGTTGCCTTCTGTTTTTTAAAGATGGTTTCAAGAAACAAGTTGTTGGATTTACGGTGAAAAAAAAACATAATTAATAAAAAGTATTTGTTTGCCTCTTTTTATATATACATAAACCTCGATGACATTCCCAAGCAACATCGACTATTCTCTAAACATCTTCCACATGGTTTAGAGATGTGTTTAATTAGGTGAGAAAAGCAGAATTCTTCCCAAAGCAGACGTTGAATCTGTCTCACATTTATTTTATGCATGTCCCTTTATCTACTAACCTTTGGATTCAAATGTCTTTTTACAGTTTTGATCAGCATCACTGAATATATGGTTTTAGTATTAAATGTTGAATGTAACGTAAAAGTTCAAAAAATATCCACTGGACTTGGTTTCCAAGATTTGAAGACGTTTCGCCACCTCTCCAGGAAACTTTCTCAATTCAAATGTCTGGATCCGCAGTGAGTTTGAGTATTATAAAGACAAAGCCTTGGGTCGCTTGGAAACATGCAAATGGTAACCGATGAATGGGTCGTTTGGTTCCATCGTTAGCCTGTAATATCTGAAACCTGTCTATGATTCTGAGGGTCGGTCGTTAAAGGGGGGGGATTGCCGTTATGAGGGGGATTGTCTCCTGTAATACCTGAAACCTGTCTATGATTGTTAAGAGAGGGTCGTTAAGGAGGTATTGTTCACCGGCTGGAGCGGGTAGGTCCCTCGTTCCTCTGTGATGGGGTGGGGGGTTTGGTGATATCTGGAAGGGATCATGTCTATGATTGAATTGTATGTTTTTGGAAGCTGGAATCTGAGTCCACCACCTCTGTTTAAAGTTGGTTTTTCTCTCTTCACATAGATGGCTTCCTTTACGCCCCTCTCAAACCACCTATTTTCTTTATCCAAGATGTGAACATTCTGGTTCTCAAAAGAATGTCCTTCGTCCACAAGGTGTGTACTGTGGAGTCTTGTCCAGAGGAGGCCGCTCTTCTGTGTTGGGCCATGCGTCTGTGTAGAGGTTGTTTGGTTTCTCCAATACTTAAAAGATCAGAGCATTCCTCACTGCACTGAACAGCATATAACACTTCGCTCATATTCGGTCTGGGGGTTTTATCTTTAGGATGCACTAGCCTCTGTTTAAGGGTTTTGTTTGGCTTGAAATGTACTGGGATTTTGTGTTTGGAGAAAATGCTCTTGAGCTTTTCAGACACTCCAGCAACATAAGGGATTGTGATGTTTTTGTGTTTAATTTTCTCATCGCTGTCGATGAGTAACGATAAGGATGTTGATAATCTAATTAATTTGCAGTGTTTGCTGCACATTCGTAAAGCTTTCTCCTAGGTATGCCAAATTAAACATTGTTTTTTGTAGAACTTAAACATTTTTAAATCGGTTTTTAAAATATGCAAGAACAAGAAAGTTCTCTTCAAAGATTTGGAATCATTAAGGATATTATAGCTCATATTTGATATATACTTAATAAAATCTGTCTTTTTTTTGTTTTTGTTTTATTTCCTCTCTCTCTTTTTGCTTACTTGGTTTTCCACTATGCTTCCTGATGTATTGTACTTTTGTTTATGTATCATCTTTGTTAACTATTATAGTGTCAAACATTGTTGTAATGTAAATATTATTTCACTCTGCCTCTTCGTGGGTGTATGACGTAATGTTTGCCTATTTAAGGTTATATTTCGTTTATAGAGATTTCTGTGAGAAAAAAATCATGAAAAAAGGACTTCTGACTTTATACTTTTGCTGCCATTATTATTTATTTACTCTCCAGGTGCACAGTTTTTTTTATTCCTAAAAACACTTTACAGTACAGTATTTAATTGTTTATCTTTTAAGTCTTCATCGTTATGTCATTTTGTACATTTTTCTAAGGTCCTGATTTGTGTGACCATTTTTTTTCTATAATATTTTTGCTGCTGTAAACACCAGAATTTCCCCATTGTTGGATAACAAAAGGGATTTTTTTAATCGATTCTATTCCTGAAAGGGATTGGAAAATATATGTTTGTTATATATAATATATGTATGTTACAATACTTTTAAAATGATCTCAGCAACAGATTAAAAAGAGTATTGCACATTTACCAATACCAGTATCAGGCGGGGCCCCGATCGAGCACTAAAATGGTGGTATCGGTATTGGAGAATACCAGCAAATAGGGCACCGATACCATTTTGAGAGCCAGAAGTTTATTCAACTATTGTCACCCGTTCCAGGAAGGCAGATCTCGGACTGGGAACGATTTTCGGCCCTGGCATTTTTCCATCTACACCAGCCCACTTCTTTTTATCCATAGACGGCCATCTTAAACTGCCAGATTGGGAAACATCCCAACCTGGCAACAATGCGTGTAAGACGGGAAACATTAGCCTTTAGATGCAAAACCCCATCATGCACAGCAACATATTTTTGCAAAATATTCTAAAATAAATTTGCCATATATAAGAAGAACATCGTAGCCTGGTTTAAAGAAATCATTTTAGTTTTATTATAATTTAGTTGGAAGGATTTTACAGTTTGAAGACATAGAAAATTACACCATATGCCAACCGTCACAAGCAGGTGCATGACGAGGAAGGGCTATATATACTGCATGCATCATTTAGGTAGTTAACATCCTATTACTTCTTGAGCTCCTTTAGTTATTTCCTGTCGCAGGTAGGTGCTTCAGCCAGAGAGTAAGGGCTGGGGCTGGTATGATTTAAAGAGGGCCAGCTCTCGCACTCTGAAATTAGGACCGGTCCACCGGGTATGAAAGATTACCAGTCCAATGCTGTACAGCGGGTATTGGTATCAGACCCATAAAATGGCACTGGCGCAACACTAATTAAAAGCACATTGTAGGAGCCAATTATTTTTTGTTAATAATTAACAAAGTTTTTTGTTTTTGTGGATAATCTAGCTAAGTTTATTCTACTTTATTGTTTGTATGAGATTGTTTTTTTTTAGTTATTTAGTCATGTTCCTTTGTTTTTGGATAGTTATGATTAATTTGGATGAATTATTTTTTATAAATAGGCTGTCAATGGTAGGACTTGCATGCATCTGGCTGGGCGTATGGTTTTTTACCGCAAGAGAAGCATGGAGGAAATGTTTGTCTTTTTCTGTTTGCTTGCCTGAGGAAAAAATAAACTAGGAAAACTAAAGGAGTTTACCTGGAACACTTTTTTCTTTTGCCTGCTTAAAATGAGTCCATGGTGCTTCTGTGGCCTTTGTGGATTTCCACTTTTTTGTATCATCAAAGCTGGGCCACAACACACATTTTTAATCTTCTGAATCAGCAAAGGTTCCTTTAAATATGCATCAATTCTGACAAACAGGAATTATTTCTGTCATGTGACTTTTAGAGCCAAATTAGGATTTACAAAACAGATTAATTTACATGTTTTTTTTGTTTTAACTTCCAAGTCCAAAAGTCCAAAAAACACTTTCAGAAAAACAGAAACGTACAATTGAACATATGCCATACATAACAGTTTTCTTTCAGAAAAAGAAACAATATAAAAGAATGAAAAAGAAAATTAAAATAAATAAAAAATAAAAAACACAGGGGTTTAGCTAAAGTATATTGCTATGAAGTCTGAAAGTTTTAAAGTAACTTAATCGAGGCATGAAAACTTTTAATATCATTTTGGAATTCTTGAAAATTTGAAGAAACTTTAAAGAATCTGCACTTGTAGATAAAGAATTTCCCATAATGAAAACAATATTACATAAAAATTCCACATTTCTATCATGAAAAAGTAAAGCAAAATTTAACTCCTTTATATTCAAAATTAGGAATCACAGTTTTCGTTGATAACCAATCATAAATCTTGTTCCAAAAAGACTTAACCACACAACAATTGTAAAAAATATGTTCTTGTGTTTCTAGATCTTTCTGACAAAAGTTACATGCATTAACAGCAAATCTAAATAGATGAATTTACATGTATTATTTTAAAATAACATGCAGCAGATGCAACCGGAAGCCAGGGTTACCCATGATCATTTGCGGCAAACCCGCCGCTAACAAAAAGCAGAGCAAAACCCCGCCCACATTTGACGTTTTCGTCTCCGTTTCGTCCCAAACCCGGAAAATATTTGCATAGAAGCTCTGATTGGCCGAGAGTGGCGCGCCAAAGGTCACGTGGCCTGGCTTTTCGCGCGAAACTGGTCTCTGTTGTCAGGCGGGGAGCGAGCAGAGAGAGCCGGAGGAAGAGCAGAACTTTTCCAGCTGCTGTTTAACTTGTTTTTTTGACTCTTTTGGACTCAGTTTCGGGCATCATGGACGTGGCTACAGCAAACGCGGAGACCGGCGGAGTGACGGTGAAGGACGAGCTGGCAGAAAAATGCCAGAAGTTGTTCCAGGCTTTCTTAGAGGAGTAAGTCACGCGGAGATGACCCAGATTTCACCGATCATTAATAATAACGCTTTATTTTAGTAGTTATGAAGTCATTCTGCTGTTTTTAGCGGTTTTATCGTCTTTTCTGATAAGGGGTGGTTTTTGTGAGCAGGTTTCAGAGCGGGGATGGAGAGGTGAAGTACGTCCGGGAGGCTGAGGAGCTGATCAGGCCTGAAAGAAACACTCTTCTGGTGAGCTTCTTAGACCTGGAGGGCTTCAACCAAGAGCTGGCTGACACCATCAAGGAGGAGTACTACAGGTTAGCCCACAGCATGACTCCCCCTCTCAATCATGCTGCCTCCCAGACTGAAAAAACAGACATTAAATGTTTTTTTTCTTGTTTCCAGAGTTTACCCCTACCTTTGCCGGGCTGTTCGTAACTTTGCTCGGGATCATGGGAACGTCCCTCTGAACAAAGAGTTCTACGTTGCTATCGAAGATCTTTCAACCAGGCACAAGTGAGAAGCCCATCAGGTTAAATGAGGCGGGGGTTTGATGTCTATTGCATGTGAGAGTTAATTTATGGTTTAATGTAGGATCCGTGAGCTGTCCTCCATGCGTATCGGTACTCTGGTGAAGATCAGTGGTCAGGTGGTGAGGACGCACCCGGTCCATCCTGAGCTGGTGAGTTTACCTGCTTCGTTGGGCTTTGGGGTGATGATTCAATGCCAAGTGGTTGGCGGATCGTGAACCTGTGCGGCGGTTCCTGTGTGTCTGCAGGTGAGCGGGACCTTCGTCTGCATGGACTGCCAGGCGGTGATCAAAGACGTTCCCCAGCAGTTCAAGTACTCCCCGCCCACCATCTGCAGGAACCCTGTCTGCAGCAACCGCTCCCGCTTCCACCTGGACACGCACAAATCCAAGTTCATCGACTTCCAGAAGGTGAGGTGGTGAGGACGGAGGGGGGTCGCATTGGCGACGGTCGCCGCCTGCAGGGTTTCTGATGCGGTTTGATTTCTGTGCGCTAAGGTGAGGATCCAGGAGACGCAGGCGGAGCTGCCTCGAGGATCCATCCCACGATCGATGGAGATCATCCTGAGGGCAGAAGCTGTAGAGACGGCTCAGGCTGGGGACCGCTGTGACTTCACAGGGACCCTCATCGTAGTGCCGGACGTCTCCCAGCTCAGCACTCCGGGTACGGCTTCACTCCTTAGCAGTTAAATTTCACCCGTTGGGCTTTTCATGATTTATGGCTTTGATCTCCTCAGGCCTGCGAGCAGAGACCAGTACTCGCGTTCCTGGAGGTCCTCAGGGCTTTGAGTCTGAGGGTCTGAGGGGACTGAAAGCTCTGGGAGTCAGAGAGCTGTCGTACAGGCTGGCCTTCCTGGCATGTAACGTGGCGCCCACTAACCCACGGGTAAGAAACCAACACCGCAGCTGACCATCCCCTAAACAATCCAGATGTGTGCTATTAGACTAGAACTGTCTCCTCCTGCTGTAGTTTGGAGGTAAAGAGCTGCGGGACGAGGAGCAAACGGCTGAAAGCATCAAGAGTCAGATGACGGAGAAGGAGTGGGAGAAGGTGTTTGAGATGAGCCAGGACAAGAACCTGTACCACAACCTGTGCACCAGCCTCTTCCCCACCATCCACGGTCAGACCGCCGGCCTCTACAGGCCTTTCCAAACCTCTGACCTTTGACCCTTTAGCTGACTGACGCTGATGTTTGATCCTTTAGGCAACGACGAGGTGAAGCGCGGCATCCTGCTCATGCTGTTCGGAGGCGTTCCCAAGACGACCATGGAGGGGACCTCGCTGAGGGGAGACGTCAACGTCTGCGTCGTCGGAGACCCGAGTACCGCCAAGAGCCAGTTCCTCAAGTATGGTAACAGCTGGAAATAAGAATGTTGACTTTCTGCAGATGTGGTTAACCCCCCCGGTGTCCCCCTGTGTGTTCAGACACGTGGAGGAGTTCAGCCCCAGAGCTGTGTACACCAGCGGCAAGGCCAGCAGCGCCGCCGGTCTGACGGCAGCTGTCGTCCGTGACGAGGAGTCCCATGAGTTTGTCATCGAGGCCGGAGCCCTGATGCTGGCAGACAATGTGAGGCTTTGAAGCTCGGCGAGCCTTTCGTCCATCAGCAGAGCGTTTTTGTCCTGATGTTTGCTTTTTTTTTTAGGGCGTGTGCTGCATTGATGAGTTCGACAAGATGGACCTCAAGGACCAGGTGGCCATCCATGAAGCCATGGAGCAGCAGACCATCAGCATCACCAAGGCTGGAGTCAAGGTAACAGCGCCCTTCAAATACCCAAATTAGGATTAAAAAAATAATCCATGTAGAGCTCAGGCGACTCCACTTTCTGCTGCAGGCCACCCTGAACGCACGCACCTCCATCCTGGCTGCTGCCAACCCCGTCAGCGGACGCTACGACCGCAGCAAGAGTCTGAAGCAGAACGTCAACCTGTCCGCTCCCATCATGAGCCGCTTCGACCTCTTCTTCATCCTGGTGGACGAATGTAACGAGGTGCGCTGATCAGTCTGTCCGGTTTATTCCGCCGTTAATGTTCCGTCCTTCAATCTAATCCGTGTTCTGTGTGTCTCAGGTCACGGATTACGCCATCGCCAGGCGCATCGTGGACCTGCACTCACGTGTGGAGGAGTCTGTGGACCGGCTCTACTCTCTGGATGAGATCCGTAGATATCTGCTTTTCGCCCGGCAGTTCAAACCTAAGGTGGGTGGAGGCTGGATTCTCAGGTTCTCCTTCCTTCCTAAATTATGAATATGTCCTCAGTTCCAACCATAAACTTCAGTGTTTATTAGGATTTTGTTCGGATAGTGAAAAAGAAAAACAAAGTAATGCACAAAGTGAATGAAAAATGATGCATGGTTCTCTAAAATATTATATTTCAAACTATTATATGGAATTAACTTATTTAAATCTTATATTTTGTATTTAATCTATTTTCATGTCTAATATATAGATTAGTTTTTATAAAAAAGCCATTGGGAAATATGTGGTAAGGCCTAAGGCAGATGGCCGCTCACACTGAGCCTGGTTCTACTGGAGGTTTCTTCCTGTTAAAGGGGAGTTCTTTCTCTCCACTGTCGCTACAAGCATGCTTAGCGTGAGGGATTGCATTCAAGTCAATGAGGCGATGCAATCAACTGGTTTTCCTTAGACAGATCTGGTTGAACTGTAAAGTGCCTTGAGATGACATGTGTTGTGAATTGGCGCTATAGAAATAAACTGAATTGAATTAAAATACGTGACTGACACCCTGATGCGCACAAAGCCTTCTAGGGTTTTATAAAAAGAAAAAAATAGAACTTGTATCCTTCTTTATTTCATTTTGCAATCATCTATTACTTTCTGCTGATGGTTTATATACAATTTCACTAAATACACTGAGGTTTGTGAGGAAAAAAAATCAAATTTAAGGATATGATTACCTCAGAAGGCGTAGATGTTGGCATCTCCTGTTTCTGACCTGTCGCCTAAAGACGCTCCTTCTGCTTCTCTCCATGTTAGATCTCCAGTGAGTCTGAGGAGTTCATCGTGGAGCAGTACAAGCGTCTCCGTCAGCGCGACGGCTCCGGTAGCGTGTCCAAGTCTGCCTGGAGGATAACGGTGCGACAGCTGGAGAGCATGATCCGCCTTTCAGAGGCCATGGCACGCATGCACTGCTGCGATGAGGTATTGCTCTTTGTTAGTGTACATGGGACCTTTTTATGAGTTCTGCCTAATTATTAGAAAACCTGAGGTCGATTCTTTCTGTCTGTGTAATTAGGTGCAGCCTAAACATGTGAAGGAAGCTTTCCGTCTGCTGAACAAGTCCATCATCAGGGTGGAGACGCCTGACATCAACCTGGAGCAGGAGGAGGAAATGGAGGATGAGCAGCAGCAGGAAGACGGTAGGATTGATCATATTAATGTAAACCTGGCTGCTTAGAGGGATGGAAGCCTGCAGTTTAGTGGAAGGGCAAAGTAAAATGAGATTCAATCTGTTTTGTTCTGTAGGGAACAATGTCCCGAATGGAGTGGACGGTATCAACGGTCATGTGAACGGAGTCAACGGCCACGTCGATGGTATGAACGGTGAGGCGGACCACGGCACCCAGCCTAAGCCCTCTCTTCGTCTGTCCTTCGCCGAGTACAAACGCATCTCTAACCTGCTGGTTCTGCATCTGCGCCGAGCAGAAGACGGTGAGAAATATACAAAATAAGATCTTCATCCCTTTTCCACACGTCGCTCATTCCGGTTCCTCTATCCTCTTAATTCATGCTGCAGCTGAAGAAGAGGAGGAGCTGAAGAAGACGGCGGTGGTCAACTGGTATCTGAAGGAGATTGAGTCGGAGATCGACTCTGAGGAGGAGCTCATCAACAGGAAAGGCCTGATAGAGAAGGTCATCCACAGGCTGGTCCACTACGTGAGTTCACAGTTTGCTCATATATATTTTTACAAGAGATAAAATCCGATTGTTTTAACGCAGAGTTCTGTGCACCGTGTTTCCGATAGGACCACATCCTGATCGAGCTGACTCAGGCCGGGCTCAAGGGCTCAGAATCCGAAAGCTCAGAGGGAGACGTTGTTCTGGTCGTCAACCCCAACTACATCCTGGAGGACTGAACCATATCTGGAAGCCCACCTGTTTGATCCCCGCTTGTTCCGCATGTGTCTCAGAAGGATGTTTAAATTCCTCTCTGCTGTACAAAGGCTTAAAATTTGACTTGTAGCAAAATATGATGTTGTAAATATGCTGTTTTGGTCAGTTGAACCTTTCTGAACTATGGGACTATTCATTGTGTTGCAAACTGTATCATAGGCAGACACCAGTGCTTTGTTCTCAAGCTGTATTATTGTAATATTTGGGAATGTTTGTTCTAGTAATAAAACTTTAATTAAACATCTGCCTTGATGAGAGTGTATCTCAGTTATCACTGAAAAGTTACTTTCAAAGAATCAAACTTGTAGGTTTAGACGAACAAACTGGTTCCCCTTTTTTTCTGAGCCTTAGAGGTAAGATAATAATGGCCTAATAGAATTATTCCAGCTGTTGTCATGGTTACACAAACTTTTTTGCATCTTTGCATCTTTTTTGTACGATTTTTCACTCCAAGCCAACACTTGCATATATCAGTCCAAAATACCAGCTGCTATAGATATGTATTTTAAACGACTGTCACTTCTGTTTTTGTTCATGAGATGAAATTTCTTAAAGAAGGAAATTCTAGGTTACTAATTAATTTGTATTGCTGCTTCAGTCATCCACAGTGATACGACCTTAGACTAATTTATTTTGTCATTTTGTATACAAAAGTGTAAACAAAAAGAAATTTCGTTAAGAAAAGCTCTCTAAAAAAAATGTAATTGTCTAAAGTGCAGTCTTGAAAACAGTAAAAAAAAAAATAGATAAAAACAGTAATATAAACACATGACTGTATGTTTACAGTTCTAACTTTAAAAAAAATAAAATACAATAAAATAACCTGACCTGAGTGCTTAAAGCCTTTATAATTTCAATATATAATCCTTGAGGATTGGTACTAACAAAAGTATCCCTCGTCCTGTTATGAATGTATTCTAGGCATTTGTTTGGAATACCATTTAATAAACCTTTACCAAAACTGTCCACCAGGTGGAGCACATCTCAACACATGAAATAACGCGCATGCGCATTTCCTCTTATTCCTCCAACATGTCTGCCTCCTGCCTGGTTGCACTTAGGGCATCTCTGACAGGTAAACCTTCTTTATCCCAAAAGGGCTCACTTTTAAGGATTCATAGTCACAATTTTTTATTTTATTATGACTCTCTGTAAACAGCGTAACTTAGAGTTTCATTTTATAGGGTTTTAAAGCTGTCCCGGGTTTGTTTAGATATGGTTTACTTCCAACTCCTGTTATAAACACCATAGTATGGTTTGATAAGGAGGCAGAGTGGCTGGTTTAAAGTCAGGAACTGGGTTTGTCCTTCAGGTGGCTCCTGCCGGTGGTTCCTCAGGCACGGCGCTCCAACACCGACAGTGTGCCACCGTCTGCGGCTTCATGTCTTCCCCACCGCCGGACTGAACAGCTCCAGAACCGAACCGACACAGAGCTCCGAGGCTACCCACACTCCGACAGGGGGAGGTGGGGAGGAGGAGCTGGAAGGACCCGAGTATATCCCAAGGCGGAAGGCCAAGAACCCTATGATGAAGATAGGTTATGCTTGGTGAGCTGACGTCACTTCCTGTTTACCCTCCTAACCTAAGTAAATGAGAAATGGTGGCTGGCCAATTATCAATTAGGCTTCTTTTAAATTGCAGACATTATTATTGTTAAAGAACAGAAAAATAAAGTCAAATATTCTTTGATTTATTTCAAATGTATTTTGACTTTAGTTGGGTAGCTACATTGCAAACATATCAATAAATAGTTCTATAATATTTTTTTGTCAAAATAGCAAACACGTTAATTAAAACTCAAAACATTGTAGTATACTAAATTAGTATTCAAGCATTTTTAAATATGATGACATTGGTATATACTTAGGGTAGGGGTTGGCAACCCAAACTGTTCAGTCATATTGGATTAAAAAAATAAAAACAAGTCTGTCAGGAGCAAAACAAAAGTAAAAGTCATCTATAAGCCTCGTGTGGCAACACAGGCTCTAAGTGTATTAGCCCACTATAAAAAAAAAATGACTGTGGGCTATATATATATATATATATATATATATATATATATATATATATATATATATATATATATATATATATATATATATATATATAATAAGCATTCATGATTAAATGTGTACACTGGAGAAAAAGTCGCATCATGTGACTAGTCTGCTGTATGATATTTGGTGCTTTAAAGGTTAAATTCCATTACAGTATTAATTAGGTTTTGCTGAATCGATGGAATTATAGAAATATGATTAAGAAATCAGATTTATTATTTTTATTATGAAGATTTGGGGTAAAAAACAAAAAAAATTGGAAGTTCACATCCCTGCATAAGAACGCTACCTTGAGCTCTGAACGGTTTTCCATCCTTGCAACAAAACTAGCAGCAGTGGTGGAGTTTGGGGATGCAATCCACCTCTTTAATCTATCTTTGCTCTCCTCCTGTAATTTATTCAGAAGTTCTGCAATCACACTTTTTCTATCACTCCTGCATGTTTAGCATGCTTTCCCTGAAAATGCTTTTCTTAATTAATCTTTTTATTTCTTGACAACTTTTGATTGCAAAGCAAACATGCAGGCAATCCTTCTGCATTGGAAATGAAAGAAAATGATCGGTCCATTCTTCTTTGAAACCTCTTTTCTCAGTTGCTATCTTCCTTTTTTTCCCCTTTGGGATCCATGGCTCGAGACACACCTGTCGCTTTGTTTAAAAAAGCCCCCTGCCCGGCACTGAGCCGAAAAAAATATTTATCTTTTTTTAATGTAGTCATTATACAGATTTTTACAGCATTGGAAACAAAATGACTGTTTGTTTGACCTCCTGCACACCGTATTAAGACAAAGAAACAAACAAAAAAGAAAAAAAAAATTCCTTTTTCCATTTTCATACAATGCTTGAAAAACCTCCAGGGAGTCGCAAGGGGTGCTAAAGAACCGCATACGACCCCTGACTTAGGGTAACACACTTAAAGTAAGGTTTGTCACATTAAAAAGTTTAATTACTATTTAATATATAAATATATTTAAAATATAATGTGCTGTATGATTATGCATTTTCTTTGTATATTGCTAATAGTTTGATTGCTGTAGAACTTAGATACTATAGTTATTATGGAGTCATTAGACATAGATTAACTGTGGAAATATTTGCTTTTGTGAGTGAATTTATGTGTCCAATTCCCATCTTTGTCTCCAAGTCAGGTCCTGGAAAAACGAAAACAAACTCTGGTTTCAATAACTGCACAGGGCCGATTAAAAAAGCAGGATTAACAGACTTTAATTCTCCAATCCAAATTAATCTAGCCTAATATTCGGGAACTGATGGCTACTGTTAGAAGTTGCTGTGAGTTAATTTAATGAACTCTGGGTAGGTTTATTTATAATTGAGCATGTGCGTAACAAGTATGAAAAGCCAACAGGAAGTGCCTATTTCATCCCACTGGAACTAGAGATTTTAATGGAGAATAAAAAAAGTGGAGAATGTTTAAAAATACGGAGCTACAGGTGCAAAGGACAGGGAGATGGCGCTGGAGAAGATCGCTGCCAAGTTCATGCGTAAGTTTATATGTAGACTGTGTGGCAGGCCATTTTGACACGAATTAAAAACAGTCTTCTGTTTTGTTTTCATTTGTATCCTTTAGGATTCTTCCTGATCAAAACCACATTCCTAGTTGGAACTGTAATAATAGAGGTTCTAAATTACATTTTTGCCAACAGAAACTGAATTTGGGATAAATAAAATTGCTTTTTAGTAAGAATTAAGTTTTATATACCTAGAAATGTTCACACATTTAAGTTGCCTTTTTATCAGCTTGAGTGAATATGTAATTATGATATCTGAAATACATTTCTTCATAGCCAAAATAATGCGAATTCTGACCACTAACAATAGGAAAATGGAGATCTGAAATTAATGCCTAGACATCAAAAATGTTTATTCTAGATGTGAAGAATGTCATTTTGTTTGAAATGGTAATTTTGACAAAGGAAAAATGTTTTTTTCCCACATATCAAAAAAACATATTCAGTCAAACTAATACATATCAAACCTGCCTGCCATAGCCTGTTGTAACAACTATAAAATTAATGGAAAATCAAATGTATTGCTTGAATGGTCATGGATCAATTAATTCTATTTAGGTGAAATAGCTGGTAGAAGGAATAAAAATATTGTTCTTACACATAGGAGCTGAGCTTCATCCCATGGGGTCGCTCCTCAGTTTGATTCCGTCTTCCATTACACAGTAAATACTAAGCTGCTGTTTGCAGCCGCTTCAGATGTTATCTCTTTAAATGGCCGTTATCAGTTTGTGCCTGCTACCTACTAGTTGGATCAGTAGGTTGTTATCAGCAAATGAATCCTAATCCTAACCCTAAAGTGATTCCTTATCTAAAGTAAAGATAGATCATCCTTATAAATATTTAACTCTGATAATTAATGCCAATCATTCTTTAATGACATGCCATGTTTGTGTTTTTATTACCTAATGTGTCTAAAGGACTAAATCAGGAAATGAAACATGATTGGCTGTAAGGAGAGCCCAGACAGAGGACAGTTGAGTTTACTGAGCCAAACCGGCTACCGACCAGGTTAGCACTGGGGAGAATGTTACTATGGTAACAGAAACAGAGGTTGAATACTCTCCTAATGGAACGGAAAACTCAGGTTTCCCTGATTTTAGTTTTAGAAAACTAGCTTTGTGAAACAGGCCCTGAGCCTCCCAGAAACGTTCACCTTCTCAACAGAACCAAAGCAGAAGCGTCCAGAGCATCGTCCCTCATCCTCTCCAGAGACCATGTGGTTTTATTTTGCCCTGTAGTCCTGGGCTTCTTTTAAGGACGAAACAGGTTAGCTCTGCGAGAATGATACTACTGCAAGAGAAACAAATGACAAGCTAACAGGAATGGAGGAGGAATTATATTTTAAACAAAAGAAGCTAGAAATGATCAGCAACCTTTCGTGAGCTCATCCAAGTGCAGAAGCTGCTTTAAGAAAAGTTTTCCTTAATTTATTTACATTAACAAAACAAATCAGAAAACTGACGATACCATTCTGCTGCTGACAAACCATAATCTATGTAAAGGTTTAATTGATGCAATTTTTAGCGTAAAGAAACAATTAGTTGCACCTGCAGTAGTTTTACTGTTGAGGATAAATATATTTACGATATTCCATATTTCCGTCTTCCCAGGATGATTGGACTCCCTGCTGGAATAATCGGCTTCATTCTGGCGAAGAGACAAGTGGACAAAAACCGCCTGAAGCAGCTGAAGGTCAGGCAGAGGATGAAACGATCCAACGAGGGCGACTATGAGGGGAGTCGATATCGCCAACACAGAGTGGATCAGTGAATAGATCACACCATGCGGGACTCCTGGACTTCGGCATAAAGCCCTCATTAAAACAAAGATATTTATACAATGAATAAAGCTACATGCAGACAATAGCCATCACCTGGTGAACAAAGAATCACAAGAAGCCTCAGAAAGGAAACAAATTATTTTATATGAAAATGCGAACCAATTGTTTTTTCCCAGTATGATGTATATATAAACATTTACAGCAGCTACATGGGCTTTACGTGTTAAATGTTTGACACTACTGCTTTAATAAAGGCTTATGCAACTCAGCAGGCATGTTTGAACCTCTGGAGAAGCAGCTGGGTGGGGCAGGTTAAATTGGGAGCTTTAGGACGCTCCCAGTTCAGCTGTTTCACTCTGATGGCTCAGACCGTCCGTCTCCATCTGGCTGAACAAAGCAGCCACATTTGAAACAGTCGTACAAAACCTTTCATCATAAACCAAGCCTTTATAGAGCAGTTGCCATGGATACATGTAGTATAATCATAAAAATTGATTATAATCATATGCCTTTTTTTTCCTTTTTTAAATCATTGCAAAGAAGAAGCATAGTAGGTATCTACAGTGATCTGAAGCAAACAGCCCTGTTTAAATAACCCAGAAATATGAGAATTAATCATTTCAACACTTTTCTCCATTTGGTATGACAGCATTCCTTTCATCAAATGAAAAGATTCAAAGCTGGCTGCAGATTCCCAAACCTGTTTTGGAGAATGTTTAATAATCTGATAAGGCACAGTGGTGGCAGCATCATGGTCTGGGGTTGTTCTGAGGTTTTTAAGGTGGAACTCAACAGGTTTTAGCCCTTAACCATTAGGTTCCTGCTAGACAGCTGAAGAGATATTAGATTTTTTTCTCCTCATCGCCTTTATAGCATCTGATGTTTTTTGTTTCGTTTTTTCCTAAAAGTAAACACACCACATTCTTACAGATACTATTCTACAAATGTAGGGTATTGGTTTAAAGGTCTAGTTAGCACATCTTTGGTATAATTAATTCTTGAAATGACCTAATTATATTTTACTTGGTATTTAAACAGGGGTGTATAAACTTTCAGATCAAGACTATTTTAAAGTATAAATATGTATATTACAAGTATAAAAGTAGTTTTTGTAGATCCCTACACTGTAAAAAAAAAGAAAAAAAAAGAAAAAGAAAATTCTGATTCAGCCGTTTGACTCTTTCCCTGGATTATTTTTAACATATTTAAAATACAAATCATTTTTTTTCCTTTAATCCAAAAAAGAAAAAAGAAAGGTAAAAGTTGGAATAAAGACAAACAGAAACCAGTTTTTGAGGCGTGGTGCTTTCCAGCAGCCGTCCGACACGGCGTGAACTTCAGCAACCTCATCTGCTGGAAGCTCCAATAATTTGCAGCAGGAAGAGGAAGATCTGGACGATATCGACGTAAATGGAGAGCGCGGCGAAGACGTACTCCTCAGGACTAATGGAGTACTTCCTGTTTCCTATCAGGAGCTGAGTGTGGTATGCCAGGAACTAGGAAGCACAAAGGAGGATTAATAATCAACACAATATAAAGTTAGAGGGAGGAAATCCTTCAGGTTGAGATGTAAAACACTCACCATGGTGAACGCTATGGCTCCCATAGCTGCGTACAGCATGTGAAGCCAATAGATCTGCAACAGAAAGCAGCGGTTAGAAGAAAATAAAGCGCTGGCTGCTAAACTCAACCCCCCCCCCGACTTTACTCACGTATTTGAAGGAAAGCACGATGGCTGTAATGATTCCAGTTACAAGCATCACGATCGAAAGGACACAGAAGAGGCCTCGGCATTTGGTAAAGTCAACCTAGACGGTGAGACCACAGGGCAGCATGTTAACACCTGTTCCTAGACGGGGAGCTTCAGCTTTCAGAGGCGGACACACACCTTGGTCTGGAAGCAGAAGATGGTGACGGCGATGCACACAACAGCCGTGATCCCGAGAGCCAGAAACACGGCTTTGGTATCATAGTAACTACAACCAAAAAGAAACTGGATTACTCCTCGGGTTCAAACTGGCTTTTTTATGTTTCCCTGCGCATTCTTCTGCTCCGTCTCTTACCTTGAGATGGTTCCAGTCATGTACGACAGAGCCAGAGTCTGACACAGAAAGAAACAGTATATTTAGTCGTGTAAAGTTTTTAATCAAATCAGAAATTATAGGAACCGACTGAGAAATATCTTTTAACTGTAAACAGAGCCGTTAAAGTGGTTCATGATGAAATGTTGCAAACACGCCTCTGCTCAGTTTATGGGGATTTAATGAACTAAAACAAAGTCCTTCAGGATAACAGGGTTTATACATGAATGAGTAACTCTTATTAAAAGCTTTTTAATGCTCTTAGAAATAATCTTAATGCCATCAACAAATTCCCATGACTGTGTATATATATATATATATATATATATATATACACACACACAGCAAGATCCTTCACCATCTTCACCATGGACAGGCTGCAGCCATGTCCCGAGTTCCTCGTTTTCCCGCCACTTTGTTTCAAATTTGCATTTTCCCCATTCTCTAGCCTTTTCTCCGACTCAAGCTTATTTTCCAAAGCATTCTAATGCCACGATTATCAAATGTAATGAATTTCAATGCCAATTAAGGCCTTCATTTAAAAAATAATAATTTAATGACTTTGAATGACCCGCTTAAACCCTGGATAAGGAAATGCACGCTAGGGTAAAAATCAGCAGCCTGAGTTAAAAGACTGTAGAGACAGCTTTCACTCCAAGTTTTACAGGATGTCTAACACAAAGATTTGATACAAACCTAAACCTTCCTATCTGAAACATAAATAGCCTTTCATTTTCACTTTTCTGTCCTAAATTTGCCTCAAACTCCAACATCTTCCACCAGCTGGAAGGTGGACCTCCTCCCTTGCCTGCAGACATTCACAGCCTCTTTTCTTCTCCATCCATCTTCCCATCAACTCAGACCCTGCTAAAGACCAGGGTTCCCACAGCGTTTTACTGCAACCACCATGTTTAACCATTTCGGTTTGCTCTATTTTGTGTTGGTCAAACATCAAAATAAAAAAATAATAATTGAAATGTCTGCTAATATAGCTCAAAAATCTAAAAAGCTTCAAGCTGTCTGAATACGATTAAGTCCAGAAAATACTAGGGATGCACGATATTGGGATTTTGGCCGATATCCGATATGCCGATATTTTAAAACTCATGTAGCCGATAACCGATATCGATACCGATGTTAAAGCTGGACAAAAATAAGTAGTCATTGAAAATAGCAGTTTTATTATCCATTTCTGACACTTTGAAAAATAATATACTCAAATATATTTTCATATGCTGATATCAAATTGATTTTTTAAAAACGCGGTATCGATCTATTTTACTTTCAAAATCTCATGAAATTTCATCGTTCTGTTACAAACTCTCGTGATATTTTGCAAATTCTTGTGAGATTTTGTTAGTAAAATAGATCGATACCGCGTCAATATATCATCATATAAAAATATGGCAAAATTTCGTGAATTTTCGGGGGATTTCGTAGCATAACGATGACATATAGCAATATTTCATTAGTAAAAGAGATTGATATGGTGTTTTTAAATGGCAATATATCAGCATATGAAGATATTGTGATATTTAAATGTATCAATATTTTTTCCCTCGTCTTTAGAAGTTTTTAAGTCTGTAAAAAATAAGTTTTTGAGGAAGATGAAGAAGTAGTATTTTTTATTTTTTTTTAGACTCTAGAAACTCAGAAGCTGATCAAATATCGGGTTAAATATCGGTGGGGTGGCCGATGTCCGATATTCAGTTTTAAGGCCGTTACCGATAGGGGGGCGATTATATCGTGCATGCCTAGAAAATACTCCATCAATTGAAACTACTTCGGAAGGTCTATTCCGGTGTGGCACCACGGAAAGAAAAAGCTGCATCATTTTGCTGTTGCAGCAGATAAAGCAGAGAAAGACGCAACAGGTCAGAGGGATTATGCAAACTGTGAGCACATGGAAAACACTTCAGCCTCCGTGAATCATTTTGATCCAAGTCCAGGAAAGTGTTTATTAGTTTCCTGTTTCTGAGGACCAGCAGCGAGAAGTGAAACTCACAAAGAGCAGCAGCAGAATGATGTTCCATGGGAACTTCCTCCTGAACAAATAAAGGATTAACAAGCGTTAGCATTAGCTGATCATCATCTAAACAAAGTATTATTTGGTAAAACTCACCGTGGGCCCTTACAGCAAACCAGCACCAGGTGGAGGACTACATACACAGCACTTTTAAGAAAAACAAATGGTTAATATTCACTTTTATTTTAGCATTTAGCTTCAAAGGCTGAAGAGGAAGGCTTACTATGAGGCCCAGTATACAGCCGGGTTTCTCCTTACAAAGACTCGGACGGGGTCACTGCGGGAAAACAGGAGGGGTTACTGACAAATGACGGCATGACAGACAGAAATGCTCAACGGTGATGCCGTGTACTCACACAAAGGTGAATATGGCAACAATGGCTGTGGTGAGGAGGAGCTGGCAGGCCAGGATCACATAAACCTGAAACACACACAGAGGAAGCCCTTATAGACACCAGGATGAAGCAGTTTAAAGAGCGGTTTATGGTGAAAAATGATCCACAAGTTACTTCTTATGTGAAAGCTGTTTATTAGGTCACCCATAAACAAATATTAAACATTTAAAACCCTTACTGGATCCAGCTGTAGCTCCAATATTGTCATTAGAAATATTATAAATGATGATGATAAATAAAACCAGGTTTATTGTTCTTTTTCTACTGATGGGACTTAAATTCCGGAAAAAATCAGCTTTTATCAGGTGAATCTGTCCAGGTGGTGACAGGTGATGCTCATTATGTCACAACTTTTAAAGATGTCAAATGTGAAAAAAGTTCTTCCTCAAATTAGTCCGAGCAGATTCAGACAGAATAGGACTTAAATTCCCATAAAATATTGGAAATGAGACAAATCTCTTTCTAAAGAGGATGAAAACAGAAGTAGTTAGAACAAAAATATGAAATAGATTTTGTATTCCTCAAATGTTTTATACACTTCTCAGATAATTAACCATAATCGTTAGATGAGATTTTTCAGTACTCAGACATGGTAATATTGCTTTTTGGGGAATTTAAATTTGAGGTTTAACTGTAGTTTAACTCCTTTTGCTGATATAAGTTTCCTCCTCTGGTGTGGAAAAACACTTTTACTCATTTTTATTTCCAGAAAGAATAATGACAAAAAAAAACCTTCATATTACAAAAAGAAAGGTATTCATAAAATTGATGTTCATATTCCCTTTATTAAATTACATTAATGACTTTAGCTTAATTTCTAGATTACCGTTTTGTAACTAAATGATCAAAAAGACTTCAAGAGAATCAGTGATCATTTTAAAATCTGGTTCTTCACAAGCCAATTATTTATAAATCAGTATTTAAAGTTCAACCGGGATTTGTAGTAGATTATTAATGGATCTAATATTCACACAAAATGAAAAAGTATTATTAATGCCTTCATAAAATGACATCAGTCTCATTATAAATAGTGCTGGGTAAAAAAATCGAGTTAATCGATTTTGAATCGATTCCTTTACATTTTTGAAAAATCGATGTCTAGGGTATGCGATCCAATAGTGCATGGCGTTCACATTCAAATGAGCAGGAAAGATGCACTCAAGATTATTTCAAGTCAGACAGCTGCAAATATAGCCAGTAGGTTGACTGAAGACATTAACAAATGGGGGCTGAGCAGAAAACATCCTGTAGTTGTTACAGACAATGCTGCAAATATGGTTTGTGCTTTGAAGATAATGCAGCTCATGCATGTCTGCTGTGTCACGTCTGCTTGCTCAGGTGACGCTTCACTTTTTCACTTTTCACAAACAAGTTTGCACTTATGTTTGTCTTATGTTTAAACTGCCTGATTTACAAGTTTGCACTTTGTATTACATGAGTAATACATGAGTATTTTGAAACACAGTTGAGCCAATTTCATTATTGTAAAAACAGATCAAATCGAAATTAATCGATTTAGAACTGTATGAATCAAAATCGAATCAATTCAAGACTTTGGCGAAAATACCCAGCCCTAATTATAAATATCAGAACTTTTCTTTGGTATCAAATCCTAAAATATCATAAGATTTCATTAGAAAATAAGCCTTTCATAAATGTTACATTTGTCAGAAACTTCTTTTTGACCGCAGTAAAATCAAGTAGAAGCCTTATTAGTGCAGTTCTCATCAGAACAATCATTTTTTATTTGAAGCTTCCGCCTTAAAACATTTACATCCTCTAATTTCCTCCAATTAACCAGAGCAGCACATTAACTGGACATCAGATGTTGGAAAATGTTGTTCAGAACATAAACCACGAAGCTCAGAGGCTGATCGATGTCTGACAGGCAGCAGATGGCGGTTCATCTGAGCTCTATTTCTCTGATCCTGAAACAAGGAGTGGAGCCAAATAATTCTGTTGATCTCTTTTATTTTGAATAATGAGTTTCTTACTATTCTTTGACATTTTGGGTCGATATTACCATTTGTTTAGTTTTTTTTGTAGTATAAACTAATATCTGAATGCGTTTTTTTTTTATTACATTTAGCCATCAGGTCTTGAAATCAGTTGAAGCGCATGCATTGGCATAACCACTGTTAACTTATGAAGTCAGAGCTCTGCTAAAAGGGCTAACTAGTGTTAAACAAAAGCCATGGATGCAGAGAGGGAGCATGCACTCATGTTTATGACATATTGAGGGACTTCATTGTGTTCAATCTGCACGCATAAAATGTTCCAAATGCACATAGCGACTAGTTAACATGCATGAATTTGATCTAAAACTGCTTAAGTGAGTATTTATCATTATCTGACCTCAGAAAGCTTTTTTGTTTAATTCCTAGTAATTATTTCTTTATTGTTTTGTTTAAACTCAGTCTTGTTTCAAATTTATTCTTTGATATCTGAAATGTTTTATTGAAATCACAAAAAAGGAAGTTTAAAGGGGGGGTAGAAAACTTCAAAATTTGAATCTACCTGTTGGAGGAAGAGAAGCTAATGCTCTCAGTCGCCATTGCTTTTTATGTTATTGCGAATATTTCAGACTTTAGACATGGAAATATAAATAACATGAAAAACAAGAAGCAACCCTGTATTCTATACACTGCAAAAAATCCAAATCTAAATAAGTCATTTTTTCTTAAAATAGGTGCATTTGTTCTTGGATTGACAAGGTTAAAGAGACATTTTGCCAATGGAACAAGACAATTTACACTTTAAATAAGAAAACATAATTGCATTGTCTAATTTTAAGTGTATATTATCTAATGATCTTATTTTAAGAGTAAAAATACTTATCCTATTGGCAAACTATTTAACTTACCTACTCAATTTAAGGCTAAATACACTTAATTTAGGAAATTTTAACTTATTTCTAGATTGTTTTTCCAGTGTAGCTGTCAGTGTACTGATTAGATGGATAGCTATGCGAGTTTAGTGAGAGTAGAGGGACTGATGAGCAGCAGCTGCTGCTTTGCCATAGAAATTAGCTCACAGGAAGGAAACTGCTGCTTTAAAAAAGCAACTGAAGATAGACTTTTTTACATCATCAAGAACCTAAAAGACGGTTTTGTAGGTGGCGCAGTAACCCGGGTTCGAATCCGACCTGTGGTCCTCTGCCGCATGTCTCCCCCCCCGTCACTCATACCCCCTTTCCTGTCAGTCTACTATCGAAAAAACCAGCCCCTGGTGCAGTAAAAACTTAAAAAAAAAAAAAAAAAAGCCTGACAACCTAAAAGAGAAGGACTCACTTTTAAAAACAAAGCTGAAGGTAAAGATAGCTTATCAGGCACCAGGATTTCTATAGTAATGAGGAGAGTTCTTCAGCATTCTGCCACCACCAATGCAGAGCTTATTCAGCATTGGCGGGCGCTGGATGTGAGTCCATCCTCATGCTCAGTGGGATTTTGGAGTATTTTAAACAGAAAGGAAGCCATTTCTTTACTGAGGGCTGACTGAAACTGGAAGGGATGGAACGCAGAGGACTGGTGCTGGGTTACTTCTAGAGATAAGATAGAAAAGTAAGCCTCTGTGTAGGCCCTGTATTATATAAACAGTGGAATTATTTGATAGAAATCTATTTGAGTTTTCTCTCCTCTTAGAATCTACTCACAAAGCGGCCTCAGGTTATTCTGATGAATAAAGAGCAACACATACATAGAAATCAGGAACAGGTTTGTGACAATCTTTGTAGCCTCCAACATGATTGAGAAAGAAAAAATGTGAAAACAAACAAGCTTAAAAAACGTTAACAGATGTTAAATCTGTTCACAAGGGAATGGCAGAATTTCAACAGCACTGACCTGTGGTCAGATTAGGACTGAGGGAAATGGCTTATAAAACTAATCTCCTATTTCTTCCTACCAAATTCAGGAAAGAAAAAAAATCCAGATTTTCCAAAAATCTTCTTAAACAGAAAATATAATTATCTCTCCCAGTTGAGGGTCAGATCTTAAAGGCTGGACGGAAACTATGAGAACTGGAGCTAGTCAACATCATTGTCCAGAGGGAGCTGCAAAAGGTCAAGCGAGTCAGCCCTCACTAAAAGAGACGCACTCAGAGAAAAACACTGAAGAAAAAAAACTAACAAAAAAATGAAAGCAGCAATCAAACGAGTCACTGCTGGGGAGACAGCCCTGTCACATCAGTATAGGAAAGGATGGAAAGATGAAAATCTGCTAATAAAACTGGAGTCCAATTATACGGGCATTTGGTAAAGGGAGCTCAATGATAAACAAATGAAGCTTATGCAAATCAGGCATCTGATGACTTTTGAATTTACATTTTTAGCCAAGATATACACTATCTTGGCTAAAAATTCCTTATTCTAGAGCTATAGTGCAGCTCTGTGTTTAAAAATGTGCATCTACAAAACAAGCATCTTTGCATGAATGCAGAACACTGCAGCTCTTAAGATAAATATTCCTGGATGCCTGTCAACGAACAAAAGCCAAACACTGGAACGTTACCTTTCTGATGAAGGCGTGCCGAACACTCAGGTCGTCCCAGTTGCCGTCGCTCGCAGCAAACTCCTCATCTGCATTAAGTGGGAAAGAACAAGTGGTCGGAAATCAGGAAAAATAAGGAAGTTCATCACTTAACATAATTGGAAGCAAAGGATAAAATACACTCATTAGAACCACAGCTGTATGCTTTTTACATTAATAATTACAAATATAAAAGATTACTGTAGAGTTAACTTGGAACAATATGCAGGGTTGGTGAAGAAACATTCCCATAATGTGATATGGGGTGCGGGAAGCTAGGGATAAAACAATTAATCTGATTAAATTGTTATTGAAATGAACTAATTTAGGAATCTATTAATCTTTAACTGGAGTAAAGAGACTAAAACATGCATTTAGCTGAAAAAGCAACCCATTTAGAGGAGTTTTTATACCAAAATGTGAAAAATATATAAACATCTTGCATAAAAAAATAAAAGTTTTTGAGCGTCTATCAGGAACTCTTTCAGTGGAAAAGTTTTAGTTTTAACTGGTTTAAATGCTGTATACAAATTTTTAAGAAATCTTTTCCTATATAAATATATATTTTTTTTTTTTTAGTTTTTACGGCACTAGTGGCTCGTTTTTATGGACAGTAGTCAGGAACAGGAAAGGGGTATGAGAGGGGGAGAGACATGAGGCAGAGAACCAAAGGTCGGATTCGAACCCGGGTCGCCCGCATCGAGGACTAAAGGGCAGATTACACTTCTGCAAACGCACACATCAAATGTCACTTGGGTCTGGTCGCGAACCAGCTTTGCTTGTATGCTTCCACACCGTCGGTCTGGAATTTCTAGGGACGCACAGCAGTTTCCTGCCAAAGTGCAAGGAGGAGCCTATTTGAGAACCCGCAAGAACTTCGGCGGATGGGTACAAGAACTTTGGCGGCGCTGGCGGGAGTGTTTCTCTTCCAAAACAACAATGGCGCGTCTGCAAGATATCACGGTCACGGAGATG